TGAATATCTACTTTATGCCCTCGGTACGTGAATAACTTTCATATCTACGTGGAAATAATAATTACTAGTCATCTAATGACAACATACTGAAGGTTAACGTTGTAGAGAATGACGAGCGTTGTTTTTTCTTCGTAACATTTACAAAAAACCAAGGTAATTGTGACATAACTTTCATTTTCACCTGCTATCAAATTTTATCTTGTATCATCGTGAAATGTTCTGAGAGGAAATAAAAATGGCGTTTCTAAGTACTGAAGGTGGACTGTGATTTATTGCACGTTTACCAGATATAAATCAATAGACAAGAGATTCACTTTCTATATTAACGCAACTCTGAAATCAATAAATGTAATCTGGCCTTGAGCATTCGTATATACTCAAACAGAAAATCTCATACGTCTGCTTAAAATTTTATCTAAGGTGGAACAGGGTCGGGTCGGGAGTTAGTTCAAGAGGTTTTTTGGTTTCACGAACATTTTGATTAGGTAACTTTTGGTAGTGGGTGACTTCAGGATATTGGAATTTACTGTTCCTACTCCTTAATCTTGTTCAAATGAATATGAAGACAAGTCGTTCAGTTTTAGCTGATCCGGACAACTGTTAAGTATTGTTCTTGAGTTGTCACTGACCCAACAAAAAAAACACAAAAATTTTGGGAAAAAATGTGTTTATTTTTCAGCTTAATCTTCTTGCAGCTCTGTACAACCCTTACAACCCTTGTATCCCTTGCAGTGACATCTACATATCAGTAGCAGGCTCACGACATTAGAAATACCGGAAAACAGTCAGTAATTCTTGCGGACTGATTCGCTGGACTTGTAGAGGACGTTAAGAGTTCCAATCTTAAAAACAATTTCAGACTTTCTGATTGGTGGGAATTTTTACGAGATTATTTGAATTACATCACTTGGAATGTTTATTTAACAATCGATTTACAGAAATTTCTACTGGGGGAGCAGTTTCGAATATATTATTAAACCTAATGAAAGATGTAGATTTTCTTCATCCTTGTGAAAATTTTCCAAAAATGTACATAATTAAGCTATTCATAAGAATAAAAAATTTTTATAGTATCAAATATACCAATAGAGATATCAATAATACCAAAGGTAAAACTGTGAAAAGGAAACTTAAGATTCTGTCACATTTTCAAATTAAGAGGTTTTGGTAAAATATCTTGTTTCATTATTTCTTCATTCGGAACCTTACTTAATTAGAACCCTCAGATTGTATTGATGTTGTTAATGAAAGTTTAAGTTAAGATTACATAAAATAACAAAAGTCACTAGAAGCTGAAAGTGATGGTATTTCATCGTTTGGTCCAGGATTATTCTTCCCAGCATCAGAGTTTAGTTTGTCCGTTACAAAAGATGGTTCTGCAGCGTTAGTCTTTCTATTTCGAAAGATGGTTCTATAGCATTTGTCTCTCCAGCGTCAGGGGTTGGTCTATCTGTTACAAACGATGGTGCAAAGTCAATTTATTGGAATAGATTACGATGGTAAGGATAAATGCCAGTTTTGCATAAACCAGTTTGGATGCAGCAAAGAAGTCACTCGTTTTACTTCTTCATAAGCGTCTTCATATTTTTTTATGTCACAGTGCTCTGTTTTGGTGTTCCTCAATCGTTTTCTTGGCATCTAAAAGCAAAAAAAAATTTTTTGCTTGTGTAACAACTGCACCCTAGAAAAAAATCACAACCGTATCCAACACACCACTCCGCAAAAAACCATCGCCATGACAATATAAAATAATTTACGTACAAAGTAATCACTGCTATTCAACTACTAATGTTCAACCAATAACTGTGAAAAACACCCATTACTCTATCTGTACACATATAAGAACAATTATTAACAGAAATCGAATAGAAATACTTACTTTTGACTGATAAAAAGGAATGTAGGCCTCTGCTAACGTTAATACCGCACGATGACTGGCGCAATACTGTGAAACACGTTCAGACTCACATACCGCTTCTCTCTTCCTTTGCACCCTTCTTGGTATTCCTTATAGTTTCGCTAAAATGACAACTGTCACAACCGTAACCTGGCACAACCGTACCCAGTCTACCCTACCGCGTAAAGTGCGTGCCGCTGAAACTTAGAAATTCGTTCCGGTATGATTAAAGCAGTGTTGACAATGTCAAACTAGCAAATTACTTCCATCACATTTCCATCACAATGGAATTACAAACAACTATTTTTCAGCTACATATAAACACTGAAGCCATAATGGATCGTGGAGTTAGTTATTTATCCTAATCAACAAAATTTTACGGAATGGTATCCCTACTCCGTTGGGATAAATTTAAAAAATAGGTGTTTATACGAAACTAATAACAAAAACAATCGATTTGTCATTACTACACAAGGGGAAACAAATTTTCAACTAGTCCGATTCCTATTCGTCGAAATTTCTTGAAAGGAAAGAAGTGACAGTTTCGTTACAAGGAAATTAGTACCTATATTATTTGCCAATTCCAACCGCTGTAGATCCTTCTGGTCGGTAGCTAAAGCTGTTAATAGAACTTTACAAAATCCAATATTCCACCATTAACACAGGTGGTTGGTTTAATGCAACAACAGCCATAGAAAAAGCAAATTGACTAGCTGAACAATTTGCGTCCCACTCCACAGTTTGGTCTGCAATATTGGATTCTTGTTTTTTTCAATAGCAGACCAGGAATAGCAGACCATGTTTGGATCCATCAACACAGCATCGAGTGGTCCCAAGCTGAGATCATACACAGAGAGGAACATTGGTTTAGCAGAAAATTCAAGGAAGCGAAAAATGGCCAACTCCCGCCAAACGGTCATCTCCCACTGAACCAGTGAAGCGGAAAAAATGGAAAGCGGGGATAAGTGAACGTATTCGAACGACCCATAAATAGTCATCTCTCGGAGGAATCAGTCCAGTCATCACCCGAAGACGATTGTGGATACTAACAATCGAAACGTCGTGAACTAACATGGCTTGGAATCTCTTAACTTTTTATTTTATTTTCATTTTTATTTTTTGTTTTTTGTTCAATCGTTCTATTTTTAGTCACCTCAGTTTTCTGTGCAGAGCGAGAGACAACAACAACATCCACAAAGGTTTTCTGCTGAAACCGCCAATCCCAGGAGAGAGAGCTAAACGCATATTGGAACGCGCCAGCCAAGCACTGATAAGGTCTCAAATCAATTTTCACCGTTGGAAGAGGTCAACTTTGTTGCAGGATGCCACGAAACGATTTGAAGAAATAAGAAGAGAGATATTGGAAGATACCCACAGAGAATACCCACAACAGAAAGTGGGGGAAGTTAGTGAGGAAACAATGCCCAGATACAGACCGAAAACAGGACAACTATGAAGCCGCCAACGACATCAACATGAGTTCCCGCCCGCTCCCGGGAATTGAGGAATCCTTGTTGAGGAAAGGCCTCAATTTCGCCATTGCGCCAACATCTGTGCCCACTTTGGAGATGATTACGGCAGTGAAATCCACCAGGTTCCTTATTGACCAGACCGAGGCAGAAGAATACAGATGGAAAATCAGAGAACAGCTGGATCAAGAACCAGTTTCAAAATCTAACATCAGCAATGAAGAACGTAGAGCTTTGAACGGCCCACGTAGAGACAACACAATCAAAATCCTACCTGCAGATAAAGGAAACGCTACTGTGATGATGGATACTGTTCTCTACGAACAGAAGATCGAAGAGGTTCTTCAGAAGGGACGATACACAAAGATCGTACGGGACCCTACTGTATCAATTGAAAGAAAGTTGTTTCAGATTTTGAAAAAACACCAAGTTTATTTTTCGGACAAGGAAAGATCATCGCTTACACCGCATCATAGTAATCCCCCTCACTTGTATGGATTACCCAAAATCCAGAAGAAGGACGTTCCGTTTAGACCGATCTTCAGCTCCAGAGATTCGGCTACTCAAAACTTGTCATCTCCCACTGAACCAGTGAAGCGGAAAAAATGGAAAGCGGGGATAAGTGAACGTATTCGAACGACCCATAAATAGTCATCTCTCGGAGAAATCAGTACAGTCATCACACAGAAGAATTGCACGACAACCTCATCACTTCAAAGAATGATATGGTGTACTTGACAGATCTGTATACATTATTTATTGATGTCAGTCTCCAACTTCAAGGTGACGACTTGAATTCAATTGAAACAAAAAATGTAATTGCTGCTTTTGTAGCCAAATTGCTCTTATACAAGAATTATATCGGCACACGTGAGTTTCGCAAATTCCCTAATTTGTCAGCAGTATCCTTCAACGACGACGACTTGCTCGTTTACTGCCAACATTCAGAGAACCTCCACAGCGATTTCGCAGAACGATTCCAGGACATTTTAAAATTGGAAATACCCGACTGGGTGTTGGATCCTTTTTCAAATGTCAACACATCAGGATCACCTCAGCTGGAAGAAGAACTCATAGAACTGATAACGAACGAGGAAATAAAAATAAAATTTATGGAAGCTGACGCCCACTTCTTCCGCCATCCCACGCACCGATTGTGATGAGTCAGTCTCCAACCATGGTCAAATCCTTATTCTGAATTACTGTAGGTCGATCATTTCGGGGGTCACGAGGCCGTGGAATGAATATTTATTGAGATTTGGAGTTGCAAAAACTCATGATATCAAAACAGACAAAACTACCTACTACTTAACCAGGTTTTTGGGGGAAAATATGTATCTGTTTACATTTGGTCAAGAACGTTTTCCCTTTCAGTAACAATACAAATCAGTTTGAATTTTTTTCCTGATATTCTTCCACGAATAAAAAGCAACGCATTTACACCCTTGAATTCGACACTGACTTTATTAAGATGAATGAATTCATACTGTTTAATTGCACACATTAATGTGTAATGATAACAACTGAATAAATGCACTCCTAAGCAGCAGTGCATACTTAATTTATTTTTCACGGTTCGTTATGCTCAAAGATACACTACTGATAATTTTTTCAAGCAACAGATAATAACTTACTTCTTCTTCCGAGGTCTCAGGAAGTGCCGTAGTTGTAGTTGTAGTCGTCGTGGTTGACTTGAACTTTAGAGATGTCGGTCTCGCACAATACACATTTTGAACGCTAAGCCAAAGTACACCTGAAACAAAAATTTGTAGAGAATAAGTGACTGATTATCAGATTCAATATACTCCATTAGAACTATGAAATGTAAATCAATTCACTGAATTTGTTGTATTGAAAAAATCCACCCCAAAGGTGCTNATAAGCGAGATTCCAGGTAACTGTCTTTATCGGTGCATTTGTAATTGGACCCCACAGGATGTGTAACCCTTCTGCGGGGTAGTGAAAGCATGTTAACTTGTGTTTTACACTGCGATTCGAGATTCGACTTAGGAAAGTCAAGAAGTCAACTTTGATAAGTATATAGTTCGTGTATAGTTCTTATACGCGAAAGAGATCCTCCTGGAGTCAAGGGGACTTCCCAGCTTTGGTCTTGTGGGATGCTTGGCGTCGACGGAAGGACCTACTTGCCTGGCCGGGCAGGAAACAAGTCGACACAGTGAGAAAATGAACGACGACTTTCATTTTCGAAGTACGCCGAGTCGTCTACATGTAAAGACATCCATAAATTCATGGATGCAAGCCAAGTCGATAGATTGGTGGAATATGCTCCCAGGAATGAGGCAGGCGAAAGATTGCATAATGAAACCATCGCCCAGATTCATGGAAGACTTGCTAAACCACAACCGTAATGCTGTAAGGGCAGTGGTGGATCTACTAATCGGGCAAATCCGACTAAGGAGACATGGGTCTGACAGAAGAAACCCAATGCAGGTTCTA